CGGGTGACTTCAAGTTATTTTGCGCCACCTATTCATATTCTCTGTTTCTGTACAGATTTCAGGATTAGTTGTACTCTTCACATAATCTGCATTTTAAAAGCTTTCTGAAACATCTTGAGACACTGAGGAACATGTAAGCTCATCATTATGCTRCACTCCGTAAATTTAGAAGTGTGTGGGACATCAGAATGCACATGAAGATTTTCTTGAAGGAATGCATAATACCCTCAGCCTTTCATGTCAAAATGCAATGTTAAGATCATCTTATGTTGAGATATGATGAAGGTATGACCATTTTGTGTCAAATTTTATAAGCAACACAATGTTATGACTATGAGAGGCCCTTTAGGCCATAATTCAAACTTGCTCTCACATGTACTATCAAACTCTCTCACATTTACTTTCAAACTCTCTCACACCTACTATGATAGTATATGTAAGACTTTGATAGTAAATGTAAGAGAGTTTGATAGTATATGTGAGAGAGTTTGATAGTAAATGTAAGAGAGTTTGATAGTATATGTGAGAGAGTTTGATAGGAAATGCGAGAGAGTTTGATAGTGTGGGTAAGAGACATTGACAGTAAATGTAAGAGAGTTTGATAGTAAATGCGAGAGTTTGATAGTAAATGTAAGAGAGTTTGATAGTATATGCGAGAGTTTGATAGTAAATGTAAGAGAGTTTGATAGTATATGCGAGAGAGTTTGATAGTAAATGTAAGAGTTTGATAGTATATGCAAGAGAGTTTGATAGTATGTGTAAGAGACTTTGATAGTAAATGTAAGAGAGTTTGATAGTAAATGTAAGAGAGTTTGATAGTATATGCAAGAGAGTTTGATAGTATATGCAAGAGAGTTTGATAGCATGTGTAAGAGACTTTGATAGTAAATGTAAGAGAGTTTGATAGTATATGCGAGAGAGTTTGATAGTAAATGTAAGAGTTTGATAGTATATGCAAGAGAGTTTGATAGTATGTGTAAGAGACTTTGATAGTAAATGTAAGAGAGTTTGATAGTAAATGTAAGAGAGTTTGATAGTATATGCAAGAGAGTTTGATAGTATGTGTAAGACTTTGATATTAAATGTAAGAGTTTGACAGTATATGCGAGAGAGTTTGATAGTAAATGTAAGAGTTTGATAGTATATGCAAGAGAGTTTGATAGTATGTGTAAGAGA